TTATTGTATATTGTCATTTATTTTAAGTTATTTTAACTTTTGCTCATTTGCATTGTCTATATAGATATTTTATTTTACATCTTTCAGAATTTCATCAATAAGCATTTTATTAAGAGATTTTTCATTTCATTTACATAATATATAAGATAGACTACAACCATTTTGCCGTGGAAATGGGCATATCTGGATATACAAAAGTTTGCTATAAAATTATTGAGACTTTGCAATAAAGCAAAGTACATAAAAGTGTGTTTTAAAAGGAGTATAATATAAAAAATATGACATTTTGGAATTACTTTTAGAACTTTTTTGCACAGGAGGGAACAGAAACTTTACTTTGATTTCATTAATCATGTTACTCAAAAAGAATTGAACATCATTATTTTTGCTTAGTTTGAAAAGGTTACTCATTTAGGGGGCTTCATTAGTTTCTCAGTTGCAAAAAGCATTTAATTGTAAATTTTCTGTTAATGATACAACACAGATAAAAGAAATAAATGAGCATAGACTATATACAGGTTTCAGTGGAAAATAAACATATTTTATTACTACATGAAAACTAATTGCCGTTAACTGTTTCCCTAACATTTTTTCAATTACAAAAAACAATGAAATAGATGCCGTGACTTTGAAATAATACCTCCTATATAAACCCCAGTGGATATATTTGTGAAACACTATTGTTTTTGATATTAGGTTACTAATGAATAAAATAATATGTGTAACATTTGCACAAAAGGTAACATTTAAATGAAACTGTGTTAGAGCTAAATAATAGGAGTCTCAAATTACAATGATTAAACTTGATATAGTGAAAAATATAGAACCCATGTCTTATAATGTATTTTCTACTTTTTTAAAGTTTTTCAAATTTGTACACTTATACTTTGTATATCAAGTGATCTCACTGCCCTTTGTAATATATTTGTATGTTTAATTTTGCTATCGACTGCTTGCTAAGTATATAAATGTGTAAATAAATCATATATTTCTTTTATCCATTGTTACTGTGCATTATTTCTTGTGTGACAGTAACATGAAGAATAGTCAGTAAATGAAAAGAATATTTTGGTGGTGACATACAAGATAATGATATCAGGAGTTGCATTAAATTGTCCGTGAGGTTTGAGAAATAAGAATAGGGATTTACAATTAAATGCATATACCTAGGTATGGAAGTAATGCATAGATTTTAAAAGAATATGAAATACTCCATATTTATGTGATAATGAAGGTAAAGAT